AGCGAGAGAATGAAATGAATAATATATGTGAATAGAGAAAAAGAAAGAGCTAAATAAGAAGAAAGAGATTGGAATATGTTTCGCGTGTTGATTCTTTTTATTGTGTATTTTTATTACAATGCCTTGTTTGATATTTTCTTGATCATAGATATTACTGTATTTTATATGTTGCATGAATGTATGTACGTAACTCTCCATTATATAATTTTTTTCTTACTAAACTCGTGAAGCTCACCCCAATTCACCCCACGATCGGTAGAAGATGTTGAAGGAAACCTGATAGGGTTCAGTGTTGAATCGTACGGTAAATAGGAATTAATTTAAGATTAGCATTCAGTAATTAATTTTTGATATCTCATGCATTTGGAAATAAATTATTATTTAATTACAAGAGATGTGTATTAATATGTAATACCACTGCATATGTAAAATATATTAGTTTCACTAATTGGAACTAGTGTGATAGTATCTGTACCCACCGACATTTAGGGTCAGGCTATCACAAATATTGATAATAAAAGGTGGTGTCTTTAACATTGACGCCTTGGACACCCTCTTGCAAGTAAAGTTAAAAATATGTTTGACTCGTGTGTTCTTTCTGTTCATTTAAATGTTCATATTTATTTTTTAAAGTTTAATTATGAAAGTTGTTTTCTTGGTAAGTATACAAAGTTATCTTTTGCCCTTAGTTCTTCTAATGTTGATGCATCTTTTGATCTTGTTCATATTGATTTATAGGGATCATCACCATTTTTGTCAAAGTTGGGTTGTAGATATTTTGTATTATTTATTGATCATTACAAATGTTTTGCTTGGGTGTTTTTCTTGCGCGCTAAATCTGATCTTACAAGTATAGCAAAAGCCTTTGTCAATATGATTGAAATACAATTTCGCAAGCTCATTAAAACTCTTCAGTTTGACTATGGGGGAGAATTTTGTTACTCGCAACTTATAATGTTTTTCTAAGAAAATAGAATTTTACATCAACTATCTTGTCCCCAAACTCCATAACAAAATGGAGTAGTTGAACGAGAACACCAACATGTTTTTAAAACTACCTGTACTCTCTTACTTGATTCTTATGTCCCATAGAGTTTTCGGGTGGAAGCTATTAATACAGTTGTTTTCCTTATCAACCGACAACTTACACGTGCTCAAAAATAAAACACATTGATTGTGTTTGTACAATAAAGCACCTAAGTACTCACATATTATAATCTTTGGTTCTATCTATTTTGTCTTAATGCCTCCACATAAACGAATAAAGTCATCCCCCAAATCTGCTAAATGTGTGTTTTTTGGTTATAGTGACAAACATAAACATTATCTTTGTTATGATTTTACGCTAAAAAGAATGTGCATTTCTCGTCATATAACGTTTTTTGAAAATGTGTATTACTTTTTCTTCTCATTCTTCTATAACTTCCCATAGTGAATCTACTTCTTTTATGCCTCTATTTTTAAATGATTATATTAATATTGAGAGAAATTTAGAAACTAATTCATAAGGGACAAGTAAAACTATATCTTCAATGCCTCAATTTGATTATCTTCCTAAAGGTTGGGCCCCTCATTCACGAGCATCATCTTCTCTTACTTCACCTCAACCACGTTGGTCCACCCATTCTAATTTTTGGTAGCCTCTAAATTGGTATGGTTATTCTCAAGAATGATATGATCCTTTCATTGCTTATCTTAGTCATCTTGACTCCATTTCCATACCTTCTACTTATAAGCAAACAGCAGAAATTGCATGTTAGAAAAGTGCCATAGATGATGAAATTTTGGCTCTTAAGGTAAACCAGACTTGGGACTTAGTTCCTACTCCTTCTGATGCCTTAATAATTAGTAGTAAATGGGTATATACTATTAAACTCAAGCTTGATGGTTCTCTTGCTAGGTATAAAGTCAGACTGGTTGCTCAAAAATACACATAGGAATACGGTATTAACTATGAGAAGACTTTTTCTCCAGTTGCTAAGATGACAATGGTTCGAACTTTGTTGGCTATTACGTCTGCAAAAAATGGCATTTATATCAAATGAATGTCAAAAATGCTTTTTTGTATGGCAACTTGAAAGAAACTGTATACATGAAACCTCCACCAGACTATCCACTCTCTGATCTAAATTTGGTATATAAGCTTCGCAAGTCTCTTTATGGACTTAAACAGGCTCCTCATACATGGTTTGAAAAATTCTCATCCACAACAACTAGCTGGTTTTCAGTAAAGTTCCAATGATGAATAATCTCATTCCACTAATGGCATCATTATTTTGTTAATATATATGGATGTTATGGTTATCACAAGTAATGATCAACATGGTATTCATAAGTTAAAGCAACTTCTTCAATTCTCATTTTACATGAAAGATCTTAGGGAATTGACTTATTTTTTTAAGGTTTGGAAGTTTCATAATCTAAGGATGATATATATCTATGTCAACGTAAGTATACTACTGATTTGATCGAATTGATCAATCTCACTGACAACTAATCTTGTGTTACACTAAAGGAGCTCAACCTCAAGTTAACAAAGGATTCTAGTCAACCATTGTCTGATCCTACTCTTTACAGACATCTTGTTAGCAGTCTCATGTATTTTACAACGACTCAATCTGACATTTTTTTTACAATTCAATTAACGAGTCAATCTATTTTAGATTCTCACAAGTTAAATATTTTCGCTCTTCATTGAATCATTTGTTATCTGAAAGATATAATGGGTCAAGGTCTCTTTTTTCCTTGCACTTCATCTATGGAGCTTGTTGCCTTTATTGATGCTAATCATGTTGGGAGTCTTGATACACATTTTTCTACTAATGGTTGGTGTGTCTTTTTCAGTTCAACACCTATTGTATGGAAATGCAAAAAAAAAGATCATGTTGCTAAGTCTTCAACTGAAGCAAATATTGCTTCATGTCATCAGTTGATTCAGAAATTTTTTGACTTTATCGGCTTCTTTTGGATTTTGGTGTTTCTTATAATAAGCTTACATCTCGCTATGTTGATAATATTAGTGCTATTCTTATAGCCACTAATCATGTTCACCATGAACATACAAAAAATATTAAGGTGGATTGTCATTACATTCGTGAACTTGTACAAGAACAAATTCTACAACTTCATCATGTACCTTCTCAAAATCAAGTTGCTGATTTGCTCACCAAATCCATGACATGTGCTCGTCATCATTATTTAGTTTCCAAATTGATGCTTGATGACACCTAACATCAATTTGAGGGGAGATGTCGACATAATTAGCTATAATTGTGGTGATGTTAATTTTATAATTTTGGCAGATTTTATTCTTTAATAGGTTCCTGTAATCATTTACTTAATTTGTATATTTCCTAATTATTCTTACTTCTTAACTAGTCTCTTTATATAGTTTCCTTCTTTATATATATATAAAGAGATTCTATTAGTAATGGGAGATCAATTTTTTGTTCCCATCAATTTTTGTCTTTTGTTATCAATATTGTTAGTACTTTCGGACATCTTATATTACCATTGCTATTATTTTTCCTTTTATGTCATTAACATCAATGTTATTACCATGCACCACTATGGCTATTGTTTATTATCATTACTTACTCAACTACCTCATTATCATGATCATCATCATTATTATCTCATCCATTATAACAATTATTGTTATTATTCACGTTATTGATTTGGCCCTTGGCCATCACCATTTTCATTATCCTCGTCTCTTTTAACTACCATTATAGCTATTATCATCGTTTCTTCGCAATCACTACTCTAACTGTTATAAATTTTATCATAAATGTTATTATTATAAAAAAATAAT